GGGAATGAAATCTCATTCCTGTTGATTTTAATTTCCATTTCCATTCATGTCTGAACCAAACAGATTATGGGAATGGACCATTCTGATTCCAACTCTGATTGCGAATCAAAAGGACCGTTAAATCCTGGCCATTCATATATTTAGGGTCTGTTTGGTTCATAGTCGAAATCAGAATCGAAATCGGAATTGAAATCCTCCAGAATCGGAATCAGAATGGTTCATTCCCATAGTCTGTTTGGTTCAAACAGGAATGGGAATGAAAATCAAAATCAGCAGGAATGAGATTTCATTCCCAATGGAGGGGCAGGGAATGACCATTCCCTCAAATGGGGGAATACCATTTCAACATGAACGGGAATGGGATTCCGATTCCACCCAACCAAACAGTTGGAATCGGAATAGCCCATTCCAATTCCGATTCCAAACCCCTATTCCTACAAACCAAATAGACCCTCAATATTTAATACGAAATGGGATTTCATTCTCACAAAACTGTCCTCACAGCCCCTTGCGGCTATGCATGAGAATATGTTACATGAATAAAAACATACAAGTACGGAGATATTCTCAATACATGGCTGAAAAAAGCTGTGAAAACATTTGAACTGCTATTTTTTACCTTATTTAATTCCCTTTTACTAAGTCTTATGCTTGAAGTATTACTTCTCATAAAATCCTAATTAGATCAAAATTCAATAACTTTAACAATATAAAGCCCACATTTTTTTAAAACCGACCTAAGAATAAATCTATTCTTCCATCAAGTGGGAAAATAAATTCAACCATCTTGGTCAAATGTTGACCCATGATGTCATAATTAAGTAATAAAAAATCTTTTAGTAGTAATAACAATAAAAATATAAAAAAAAATTGAGCGCATCTTTAATTTTTTAATTAATCATATTAAAGAAAAATAAGTGTGGTAAATAAGAACTGATTTGATTGATGATGGGAATGAAGTATAAAATTTAAATCCAACCCAAAAATGAAATCATGTTCCCATTTGGTAGTGGGTCAACAATTTAACCTTTCGGGTTAAATGTGTTAACATTTGATGTCATAATTAGATAATAAAAATTAAAAAATATAAAAACATGAAAAAGTTATAAAATAATACTATAGAAAACAATTGGGGACATCAATAATGTTTTTTTATTAATCGTATTAAAGCAAAATAAGTGTGTTTTATAGAATTTTTTTATTGATGATAAAAATGGAATACAAAATTTGAAATCGATTTGAAGCTGAAATTATTTTTATGTTTGGTGGCAAGTCAATAGTTTAACCTTTTAAATCAAATTTGTCAACCTTTGATGTCATAATTAAATAATATATATATATATATATATACAAAATTATAAAAAATACAAAAATATTGTAGAAACATTTGGGCATATCTCTAATGTTATATATTCATTATATTAAACAAAAATAAATGTGATAAATAAGAATTATTTTTATACACATAGAAGAATAAAAGAATTATGAAAAAACTTGGACACATTATCACTTTTCTCATCGTCATCATCATCTAAAATTGCCATGTGTAAACCATGTACTCATTTGCTAGTGTATTAAAAAAACCGTAGTACATGTATGTAAGAAAACCCCCTTATGAATTTGATAAATAAGGGCCTTATTGGTTACCATTTTCATGGTACCAGTTGACTAGTTACAAGTTGTTTTTGGTATCATAGTCGAGTCCATGAAATAAACCACCCATATTGTGTTTCGGGTAGGGATGGCAATGTGGTGAGTTCAGGGAAGATTTTGTAAATTCTCCACCCTCCCTGCCTCCCTAAATCACCCAACTGATACCCTCCCAGAACTCATATCGGGTTGGATTTTTAGGATCCTAACATTCTTTTAACTTAAGAATGCGAAACCCTCCCTGACTCTACCCTCCTTACATTTGAGGGTGGGCAAAGATGAGAACCAAAACCCACATCTAATTTCTTGATATATAAAAAGCAAATGATATTAACAAACATCAAAAGTTCTAATTATTTGATTGCAATATATAAAAAAACAAACTATCAACTTTTATTCACATAAGATTCAAAACATCATTAAATTAAACATATAATACAAAAGTTTGTATTCCTTACAACAATGATTTAATAATAAGCATTAGAGATATTTTTTAGAAAATTCAATATACAAGTCGGGAAGGGTTGTAAAATCCCAAACCCACAAGACCCATTTTTTAAACAAAAAAAAAAAATCCTATTTAACCCATCCATACCCAAGATCCATTTTTAAAGAAAAAACCCGCCCCATTGGAATAGGTAGGGGCAGCCGGGCAGGTATCCGACTCGTCGTTTGTGGTGGAATTTGGCATCAAAGTATTCCCCACTTTTGGGGTCACTTCGTTCCGAACTGCGAGGCAAAAAGAAGGGTGGAATGATCAACAACTCGACAAGTAGGCGTCTGAAAATACAGAAAAACCCCACATTTGTTCTTGAAAAAAACTGCAAGAACCCGAATTCCTTTTCACAGGCCCCACCAGAAAAAGCTTGTTTAGAATTTTGGAAAGCTTGTTCAGAATTCTGGAAAAATCAATTATTATATTATCACTTGAAAAGCTTGTTCAGAATTTTGGAAAAATCAGGATGGAACTTTAAAAAGTTTTTCAAGTGTGCACTCCACAATTTTCCAGATATGGCAGCAAAATTTGATTCCGTAACCATTATACATCCATTTTAAGCTTCAACCCCTCGGTCCTCCGTAGGGTGGCCACAAGTCGAGTCTTTCATGAGTTATTCGAGTTCGGCTCGGTTCAGTTTAAATCGAGTTTTAAACCAAATTTGAGTTCAATAAAAATCGGTTTATGAGGCTCGTGAGATTAATATTAAATAAATCATTTTTATTATATACATGTATATATGTATAATAGTAAATAATTATTTTTTGTATATATAATATTATATATTTTTATAATTATTTTTTTATAATCATTTTTATTTTTTATGAATAATATTAAATAATTTTTATAATTCTTATTTTTGTCTAAAAATAATAATTTTATACATAATTTTTATTTTTCAAAAAAACTTGACTTATAGTCGAATTCAAGCTGAGCCAAGCTTGAACTTGCAAGCTATCAATCGAGCCGAGCTCTCAAGTCTCTAGCTTGAATCGAACTCGAGTCTAATACTATTCCTGTGAGCCGAGCTCGAATAACCAAGACAAAATTTGTTTTATATATTCTATAATACAAAGTATTATATAAAATATAAATTATAAGTGTGAAATTATATATAATATATTCTCTCTTTCTCATAAGATCCGTTTTGTAATAAATATTTTTTAATTAAAATTAATTACAAATAAGGAATTAAGGAGGTATTTGCTTATTGGGCTGATAAATACAAATTTGTATTAAGATATATTTCTACTTGAAAAGTTTTCAAAATCTTTTAAGTTAATTAATACAAATTGTTATTTCTAGCTAAAATTAAAATGTGTCAAATTTGATGTTTCTTACACGCATACACTGTTTTCAGTTGAAATCACAGTCATATACATATTTCTCACATATTTGTATTGATTAACCCAAAACGTATCGATAATGCAAGGCCACTATACCGATACAGGCCGGTAGGGTGTATAGGCCTGTATCAGTATTTTTTTTTAGTTTTTTTGAGGAATCGGTTTAAGGTGCAGCTACCCTCTGAACCAGTATCTGATCCAAGACAGTCCCTAGAGGGGCATATTGAGAAGTCATTGGCACGATATATATCGGCCCATATGTATCAATACGGGCTAATACGTATCGATACTTTGAACCTTGTTCACACCCACCTCATAATACATTACAACCACACAATGGATCGGGATGGAAACATGTTCCCTACTTGTGAGTTTTCGTCATGGACCGCCGGGTCGGGGTGATCATTTTCAGCCTATCTCGTATTTAATTATAAGTATTTTATATATGTACATATATTATTTTTTATATTACATTATATATTTTATATAAACAATATAATTTCACACATATAATTTATATTTTATACAATACTTTGTATTACAGAATATATAAAAACAATATTTGTGTGTATATTATATATATCATATATTATAAAATATTAAGTATATGTAGCATTTTATATATAAAAGACAATGGATTCAGAATCAAGCCAGCCCAGGCCCAAGACAATGTGACCATGGAGTATCCATCTCACGCGTCCTTATGACCCAGACAGGATTCGAGATTGCTCTATGTATGACATCAACTCTCGCTCGCGCTTGAAGATCGGAGTAGGGGTGTCAATTGGACTGGATTTGGTCCAATCTGATCTAGTCCAATGTGAGTCTATTATAAATAGATCAAGTTTATGAACCATTTTAAATCATTCCAATTTAATGTCTAGATCACCGTGTAATCTGTTCAAATTCATTTTAATTTAAATTGGTTTTGATTCAAACCCAGTCCATTGGCACCTATATTCTTATCTTAAATAAATAGAACGGGTATTAACTTAATCCAATCGAATCCAATATAAATTTATTAAAAACAGACCATCAAATCCAATCTAATAAATATTTTGGATCGGATTGATCCAATTCAATATGTATTGGTCCGTCCAATCCATCCAAATTGATTTTGGACTGGACGACGGTCCAGGGACACCCTTAGATCGGACGACGGTGACCCTTCTGATGGCTACAGTGATACAACACTAATACTGGGTGACTGGGTGTCATTTCCTGCGTGCCTCTTTCTATAAAATTCTCTTCCAACGAGATTCCTGTACGTAGTAGGGTCATAGGGTGGGGCAAGAACCCTAACTTATATCCATTTCCATGCTACGTCGTCCCAACAGAAACCCAAACGGCGTAGGCCCCACATTACTACTAGGCACTGTCCATCGTTCAACGGCTTCAAAAACGAAAGTGTATTCAAGTGTGAACATCTCTCTCTCTCTCTCTCTCTCTATATGGATTGTTATTTAAACCCCACCAAGGCTCTGCCTTTCCTATCCCATCATCATCGACCACGACCACGATCGAGTCCCCTACTTTCTCATTGTTAGTGTCTCTCTTGCTTCAGAGAGCAGAGCTGAGCTTCGTCCGCTGCCGATTGGTGGTGGTGCTCGCTCGCTCGCTCTCTCTCTCTCTCTCTCCTTGTCTGTGTTTGGGCGGAGATGTCTGGGGTGTGGGTGTTCAAGAACGGTGTGGTTCGGCTGGTGGAAAATCCGGCGATAGAGTCGCTGGATGGGAGTCGACAAGGGTCGACCACCCGGCGCAAGGTTCTGGTTCACAGCCCTACGAATGAGGTGATCACGTCCTACGCCGTTCTGGAGCGCAAGCTCTTGGAGTTGGGATGGGAGAGGTATTACGACGACCCAGACCTTCTCCAGTTCCACAAGCGATCCACAGTTCACCTCATTTCTCTCCCCAGAGATTTCACCAAGTTCAAGTCCATGCACATGTATGACATCGTTGTCAAGAACCGTAACTGCTTTCAAGTTAGAGATATGTAGTAGCTCCATCTCTTCCATCCACCACCACTCATTCCTGTCTCTCTCTCTCTCTCTCTCCTTCTCTGCACTCTTATTCCCTTCTCTTTCTATCTCTTTTTGCTATTGGGTTTCTTCTTATGAGTGAGTGGGCATGCATGGCGTATGTATGGGGAAAGTAATTATAAATTATAATATTATATAGCTAGAGCATATAGAGAGGAGTTAGATAGATTTGGGGTTTGAATTGATTAGTCTCCTCTCGTTTTGTAAATGTTATTAGTGAGTGATATATTGAGCAAATAAATAATGAAATATGGGCTATCTGGTTTTCTGTGTGATATTTTCTTCCATTTTCATTTCACATATTCAATACTATCTCAATAGCTACACGCAGTGTTGCTTAATTTGAAGCATTATGAGCATGTGGGAAGCCATTCAATTGCAGCATATTTTGATTTATTTATGAAAGAATGGATGGTGATGTGAGCATGTGGTTGATGATGGAGATGTGGATGCATTGTTCTTATAGTTCACTGTATATATAACAATGGAGGGGAATTAAGAGTTGGGGACTGGGTTGGCGACAGCCCAATAGATTGATAAATCTAATTCAAATTCCTGATTCTCATGTATGTCATATTTGAAGACTGTTGGCCATCAAGACCAATACACAAGAAAGCAAATTTGACTCTTTTGTCGACCAAGAGGCACAAAGTACTGAAGACTGAAGAATATACTTTAATGTTTGTTTAATGTGTGTCAGAGAGAGAGAGAGAGAGAGAGGGACGGGGATAATCAAATCCTGTCTTCCAATAAAGAACAAATCTGGGATTTGTTTGTGTTTTCAGTCTCATATATGAGCGAGGGATTTATAAATGAAGAACCACCACCTTCTGACTTCTGAGAAAAGAGAAGATGTACGTACAACCGTCCTACCCATCCCTGCAACAAACATGGCTTCCATGTGGCAGAGCACAACAGAGTGACAGACCATTCTTGGCTCAATTGAATGAGGGGTTAGCCCAACCCCACGGCCCCCACTTAGAATTTGATGGGGTGGCCGGTGAAGGTCAAACATCAAACCAAGCACCCCATCTACTGGTTTAATTTCATCTACACTGCAACTTCTATTATTGTTTGGGTCCCAACTTCCAAGGGATAGTGGGTCCTACCTGTTGCGTATATGTCCGCCACCTGTAAACGCTAGAGTAAGTAAGACCATTTACACAACTGGTGGCCTGGGCAAATGGACAAAAAGAAAACATTGATTGGAGTTTGGAGGCTTGTTTGTTTGGCTACAGAAGAAATATTTGCTCCACTCAACTCGTGTTCAATTTGGATAAGACTAGTGACTCTCATCAAACGTGTTCAACAGAGGACCATTAATGCCGAGCTCCTCCTCTGCATCAAATTTTCCATCATTCTGAGTAATCACCGATCAGATAGATAATAGATCTTTCTTTAGAGAATTCTGTAAGGATTTGGATTTGCAGGAGCTAGATAAGACAAGATCTGCCCTATCCACCAAAGATGGGAGAAAGCAAATATTCCTGTTTGCTAGCTATTTTGTACTTTCATTGGTTTGATTTTGATGCCTGAACCCTTGAAAATATTTATTATCATATGGGTGGTAGCACTGAGTATGAAGAGTACATTATACTGATGTACTCTACACAATCACAATCACAAGCAGGAGGCCAGCCGAGCTCTGAATTTCCTGCATTCATGTTCTCTAATCTCTACACAAGAACCCATTGATGCACTTATTAAATAAAAGGAGTACTGGGTGGTGCTTAATAAATCTTTGTTTCAATCTTTCAATAATGGCGGAAAAGATGGGTAAAGGTGAAGATTCTTGGGAAGGTAACCCACTTGCAGAGTTGCAGAGGCATCGACTAATGACTGCCGACAACCTTGTGGAACCAATTCGACTTATATACTTAAAAAAATCCAAAGTGGGTGTGTTGTAGTTTGTCGTGAGCTCATTTGATATATTTTAAAGATTGGGATAAAGATACTGAGCTGATATGAGCTTGAGCTTCCTCTAGATCTGGTGGGATCTTTTTCTGTTAATGAAAAGAATATAATCTTCAAGGAAAGGAGAGGGAGGCGTTGCTTCACAGACAAGGATTCATCAACTTTTTGGGTTTTGGTTTTACGTGCATGCTAACAGTTCATGAAGTTGAAAATAATTTCTTATTGACTAATTAATCTAGTTAGGGTTCCTTCACTTTCAAATATCAGTACTCAGTGTGTATGTTTATTATAGCTCATGATGATCATGAATGCTATGACTCTAGCTGATCACCATGATCACTTTGGTTTAATCCAAGTATACACTCAACATTTATATAATATTTCTGATTTCTCTACTATCAATTGCAGAGGTGGGATTTGGGGTCCTTAGAGTTAGGCAAGAATTTTAGGGAAGTATTCATTATTGTTAATGCATGTATGTATAGAAATCTACAGGGAAGCTGCTATTCTCTTGTGCTTTTATTTATTTATTTTTTCAGGCGCCACCTTAATTAAATTCCATGAGAGTAGGCATCTACGTCAAAGTTGGTGCCTTGGAATTATTGTTAATTTGGTAGAGGAGAGCTAAGTAAGCCTAAGAAAGGTAGGTAGGAGACGACTTTTGTTGCTCAATATGTATATAATATTCAAACCAAGGTGGTTGGAGAAAAAGTAAGATGTTAGAAAGTTGAGAGCTGTCTCACAAAGAGGATGAAAAAGGAGGGTTTGAACCTTGAAGAGTGTGACGCTTGTTAGGTTGTCTTGCATTGCAAATTTGCTGAAAACCCAATACCTACACGTGTCTCGAGTTTCCAAGTAGGTTATCATTAATTTCATTCATTCTAGACCTGGGTCAAGGCCTATTTTTTCAGTCATTTCGGGTTCATTCATTCTTGGTCAAGGCATTTTTTCAAGTCATTTGACATTTTGGGGTCGAATTGCCCTAAATATTATTCAGGTTGGGGTTGATGCACATGTCAGATGGGTCAATGATTCAATCAACCGGGTCAATTCGTCGTTGAACAAATTAATGATTTTTTCTTTAAATGGGTTTAAGCGTCTGGTTGAAATGACTTACGGTTCAACTGTATAGATTAATGGTGGTTTTAAAAAGAGGCTTTAAACTTAGGGTGCAATTTGGGTGGGCCCAATTTGAGCCCAGACGGACCCAATCTGGTTGAGTTTGTCTAAGCATAATCGTCCTTAAGTAGTCTGAACCCGATCAGACTATACACATTCATACAAATATGTATTTATATAGATATCTGTATACATATTTACAGACTATACACATTATATATATACATACATATAGAGTGGATTTATTGACCAACTTGAACCCGACATGGGTCCGAGCCTAACCCAAGTGCATCAAATTACAATGCAGGCTAGGCTCGGGTTTAGAAGATTGGGCTTGACCCCAGGCTTGGGCCTTAGGCCCAAAGCTTAGGGTTGGGCTTAGGTTGACCATAAACCCAGTCCGGCCCACATGACTTGCACCCCTATTTAAACCTTGAAAAGAGTAGCCATACTCATAGTTTGGTCTGAATTGTGGGCCTATTTTTCAAACTGAACCAGTAGGAATGGCAACAGGACAGGTTTGGGAGCAAGGGTCATATTCCCTATCCATGAACTCGATTTTAAAATAATTTTCAGTCCTCGACCCTGATCCTTGTTGGAGATAAAAATTGTCCTCTATCCCCAATCCCGATGGAAAAGGGTTCCCCATGGGGACCCAAATCCCCAAAATTTTTAATTAACAATATTTTTTGAATAATATTCAATATATACAATTGGGGTTGGGACGGGGACTTCATTCCCCATTGACCCCACCAAAGCAATCCCCATCCCTGACCTTAAGGTCAGGTACCTGGTGCTGGTGGGGATGGAGAAAACTGCCATCCCTATGAAGAACTGGTTGATCGGTTTGGTTCTTTAGTTAGTTTTTTTTTTTTTATATTTATACTACATTATAAATAAGCATATAATTATATAATATAAATATTAAAAATACATATATTATAAATATATCTCCCAGTTGGTTCGATTAACTACTGGTTTTTCATATTGATTAACTGAAATCAAACTATTACCTTTGACTTTTAAAAATACGAACCTGAAATTGAACCAGTGGTTCAATTAGACAGAATTTTTTGTTCAATTTCATCACTTCGGTTAGGTTTTTCAGTTTTTGATGAACACCCTGCAGCTTGTTAGGTTGCGTTGCATTGCAGGGTATTAATGCAAGATAATAAGCAAACGATGTGGCTAACTAAAAGCCAAATAAATAAGAAGAGAAAGGTAATGGACTGCATGATTGTATTTGTAGACATCCTTTGAAGAATAAAAAGAAAACCTGTCCTGAGCTGATGAGCTCTCAATGAAGCAGGATCAAGTCTTCTATAGGTGCAAATGACACCCATAAACTATATACAGTTCCCAAGTTAACTGTTCAGTTAAAGGGTTTTTGCTAAGAAGAATCGATTTCTTCTAAATTGTTTCTTCATGATCTATTGATTTTTAAGGCATTTGAAAAATTTTCAATTTCTTTTAAGGAAAAAGTACTCAATAAAAATAATATTGACATGATGTTTTTTTTTTTTAAATATACCTAAAAAATAGGGGGTGTAATTTGGATGGGTCCAACTCAGCCTGTAAATTTTACATGAACTGGGCTTAGATTTTTTATCATCGGACTTGGATCATAAACACATATTTTCCTTGCATACATGCTTATATATACACTTTTTTTTTGGTAGTAAACCATACATATATGTATGTAAAGGAACTGATTGATCAAACCTAAGTCCAACCCATGTTGGGAATTGGGATCACAAAAACTTTTAGGAAAAGCTCTGAGACGTAACTAAAGACATCGTCTTTAAAATGTTATTTACCCCCACTCAGTTTTAATGAGTTTGTTGTTGGGTTATAGGCAAATCTATTCCTAAGATACAAAAGAGTCTTAAATGAGAATTTGCAACCAGTAAAGTTGAATCTTCGAAGAAATCTTTTGTAAGACAATAGCAAATGGAACTGAGAAAGACAAAGAGTGTTTTTCGAAAACTTGTATTTAATTGCTTGATTCACATTCCTTAAATAGTTTTTAAAAAGTCAGGGAGAAGAGGAAAGTGTTAATTCAAAAAAAGGCTATTTGAACAATCACAATGTTTGATTGTTAAAAGGTAATTGACTGTTAACTTTGAATAGTGCCTCTTGATCACATCCAATCGGATCGTGACCACTGAAATCATCAATAGTCAAGCTCACACCAAAGGTCAAAATCACCTTACGTAGACCATTGTGCCATACACACACATGCATGCGCATTGCACAGTAACAAGCCTCCATACTCTATTCTTTATATTTCTAAGTGTAAATGAACTCCTACTTAAAAACTTAAAACAAGCTCAGTAACTCTTTAATATGAAACAAGTTGAAAACTGATTTTAATAAGAGAAAACACTATTTTCCAAGATACATGTACAGATGTATTCTTTAACAAAGAGCCTCTTCTTCGATGTCCCTTGAAAACTGATTTTAATTGATCAATCAATTCTCTAACAAAGAGCCTCTTCTACGATGTCCCATGAAGATTCTGTTTTTTTATATATATATATATATTTCTACATATAACTACCATTGGGCACCCAGTGGAATTGATGCTTACGCTAAGAGATCTCGTAGGTGCATCTATATTTTTTATCATACATTTTTACGGAAAGAAGAAATAAACATGTAGTCAGAGATAAAGGGGCCATTAATTAAATAACAACTGCAATGCCTGAACTAAATGACTAATTGTCTTGCTTTCTAGTGAAATAAGTTTTTAAGGATGCTGTGAGCTCCTTAATTAAATAACTTCAGCCAGTTATCTAATGGCCCCTAGATTGATTAAATCCACTCCAGAATCAATTACGAAAAATAGAATAACTGAAAATTTGAACCTTTGAAGGTTTATATAGAGAACGGAGCCATCACAAAGCACCTCCATAGATTGGAAATTACATCTGCTATCATGGTTGCAGGATTCCCTTCTGATCCCCAAATGAAACACGAATACGCCAGCAATTGAAATAAATTCAAAACATACCATGTTTCATCATAGCGGGTTGAAAGGGAGACCTGCAATAGTGCGACTTGTGCTCTCCACAGATTGGAATTGAACTCTCCTGTAAGAAAAAATATTGTTCTGTGTAAGTACTTCCTTAGCAAACTTTCAGGAGAATCTGAGAGTGATTTTTACAGGCTGGTGTGTCCCTTTCTTAAAGAATCAAGGAGCAGAAAAAGAAAAACAAGGGAAACTAACATTTAATTTTATTGTTTGATCATAAAATAATATCAGTACTATTTGCACAAACAGGACGCCGGTCCACATTTACAATATACCCTTTCACCCATGAAATACCAAAGGAAAGAAAAAGAACTGAGTTTAACCAATGTCTCTGATAATGTTTTGTTACCACTATCAGAAAACTGTTTGGAAACCCTTTCCACTGGTATCGAAACTCTTCTCTACCGAATTCTATTGAAGCTTCACATATAAATAATAGAAAATACTTTTCTGTGTGCACCCAAGCATTAGTTGGTGCAATCAAATCCTTGACAAACAGAAACCCAGATAATTAGGACCAGAAGCAAGAGTATTCCAAGAACAACCAACTTTATTTTCATGTTTTGGAACCACATTTTCCGCCGAACTTGTGTTCCTACTTTCTTGAATTCTTGAGCCTGAGAATATCATCCAATGAATCTGTTAAATACTTGCATAGAACAAATTCATAGAAGAAAAATAGAAGTCTACAATCAACTAAGTTATATAGAATTAACCTACCTGAGAACGAAGATCTTCTGTTTTGTCAGCAAGAGTATCTAGCTTCTCCCCTCTATCAAGAGCCTGGAAAAATTATAGGGAAAAATTCCTGGGTTAATTGCTAAAAAGTCACCTGATGCAGAATGGCCAAAAATTCACAGGAAAGGATCTGATTGAAAGAAATAATGGTAATGCGGGAACTTACTTCTGCATGACACCATGACCACAAAAACATGAACTGGATGGACAAATATATAGAAAAAGGTTTCCAATCAAGCAGGCCTTTCATTTTCTATAAAAAAAAAATCTAACCCAACCACTATCTGAACACAACCTGGTGCTTGAACATTCTGTTTTTCTGAAACCTGTTCTACCACTCTACCATTCTGTTCTTTTCAGTGCCAGATCTATTTTAAATTATGAGATCTACCATTTCTCACTACTTCAACCCATGCCCTTTTTGGTCTGTCCCTATCTCTTCTAGTCCCTTCAATGTTGTAACAGATTACTTTTTTGTATCAGTACTGTAGATGGTCCTGAACATTAGCAAAACCATCTTAGTCTACTTTTTTGTAAATATATATATATATACTTTTTTTTTTATCAATAACACTTTTTTTTTTTATCAATAACACTTTCATTAAATCATCAGTAGAAAATTTACAGGAGGAAGACAAACACACTTATCTTCCAAGAGTCACTAAGAGCCTCATAAAAGAAAGAAAAAAGAAGAAAAAGAGAAAAGAATACACTAAAGTTACAGCTTAGCCCAAAACAGTGAATCCCTTTCTGCCCCTTGTTTAGCTAAACCGTCAGCTAGGGAATTAGCCGATCTTTTAACCCAACATGTCTTAACTTCCATCTCCCGCACCAGCCACATGAATTTCCTCCTCTCATTGATCAATAACACTTTCATTAAATCATCAGTAGAAAATTTACTTTTTTGTAAATATTGTTTCTTGACTGCCCAACACTCTACAGTGAGCGGATTTCCACATTGAGTTATCTCTTGGTAATATAAGAGGTCACATTGAGTTTTCACTTTTAGCTAAAGCATCAGCCACAACATTGAAGTTCCTAGAAATCCATCTCAGAGAGAACAAAAATTTCTTGCAAGAAGTGGGCAATCCTCCAGGGGCCTTCACTTTTCCTTTTGGCCCACCCAATGGTGATTCTAGAACCTCCTTCCACCAGTAACAACTCCACCTGTAGAGCTCTAGTTGCCCAAAGACCCACCAAAAGAGCTTGAGCCTCAGACTCAGAGGCATCTCCTTCCATCAGTAACATCCTCTTGAATCATCATCATCATCATTCATGCCTTATCCTAACTATATGGGGTTGGTTACATGAATCCTGTTTGCCAATCCATTCAATTTAAAGCCATATCCACCCACTGTCAAATTATTAGTGCCTAAATGATTTCTTACTACTTCTACCCATTTCTTTTTTGTGCTACCCCTAGCTCTTCCAGCCCATTCCACTTGTAACAAATCACTTCTAACTGGGGCTGGTAGTGGTCTCCTATGCACGTGACTAAATCATCTTACTCTACTTTCTCTCATTTTATCACCTATGGAGCTACTCCTAGGTTCCTATGGATGACTTATTTCCTAATCCTATCCTTTCTAGTTTTTCCACTCATCAATCTTAACATACATTTCTTCCACTCATTTTCTGGACATGTTTTCTCAGGACATCCTCCCAAATATGTTTAGTTAATTCATCCATGACTACATTGACTAGTGCAAATAAAAAAGGACTAATTGGTTAGCCTTGGTGAAGTCCCATTATAACTGGAAATTTTGATGTCTCTTCCATAGGTGGTAGAAGATCAAGACTGTAATCAGTCTTGAATCCTAATAGGTTTTAGGTTTGCAAAACAGAAGAAAAGTGAGAGAAAGGAGAGAGAATAGAAGAGAAACAAGAGAACACAAGTTGTTGAAAGGAGGGACAGATTCTAACAGATCTGCCGCCG